CGGGTCCTACCTGGACATGCGGGCCCTCGGCCGCCTGGCTCAGGTGTGCCGCTGGCTGCGGCGCTTCACCAGCTGCGACCTGCTCTGGCGCCGGATAGCCCGGGCCTCGCTCAACTCCGGCTTCACGCGGCTCGGCACCGACCTGTAAGCGCCCGCTCGCCCGCCCGTTCCCCGCCCCGGGCCGGCCAGCGTCCTGGGAAAGGGCGGGGCGCCGAGGCCTGGTCAGCTCGGGGTCTGTGTGGCTCCCAGAATACCGAAACCCAGATTCACCCCCACCTCCTGTGCCCCAGATCCCTCCCCAGCACCCTCTGGGAATCCCGGTGTCATCCCCAACCCGAGGAAGCTTCGGGAGAGCATCCCTTAGTGCCCTCCCCTGTGGGCGGCTACTCACAATTAGCCAGCCTAAAATACTCTTCAGCCCTCGTGAGTTGGGTCTTTTCCTAAATTTTTGACTCTGGGTTCCTCAGTCCAGAACATCTAGGTTGGTCTGCGTCTTGTGCTTCAGGCCTTGAAGGACGACGCCTGCTGGTTTCAGGACCCAGGCCCACTAGGTGGTCTTTCAACGAGTTTCTGTGGCCTTTGATCCTTTCCACTCTCTCAGAGGTTGTTAGGCTTCAGGGCTCTGATAGTCAAATATACAGAAAAGACTTCAGATCCTGTAAAAAAGAGCTTTTAGTCCCATTGTCAGCATATTTTAGGACTTGATTCAGGCAGAAGGACCCGCAGAAGATGTCTGCTTGAGGCAACAAGTTGGATTCGGTGTAGGCTGTATTCAAGATCCTGCACTTGGGTCATGTCTGAGACCTGTGAATGCAAAACACCCCGAAACACTTAGGTTGTTAAACAGGAAGGGGAGAACATGGTTACAGAATTCGTGAGGATAAAACCTTCAGATTGCAGCCTGCCCTTGCTCAGTGAAGTTCTTTTTTAAACATGAGAAGTCATCATCTCTACACAACTATTTTAACTTGGAAAGTTTTTCAGGTGCACACCCCCTTAATTGCCCAACCTGCGCCTGCTCCCTTACCCACCCTTACAGGAGTGCTAAGTGAATAATGCAATGGGTTTTGAGGTATGTCACGTGCCATGCCCTACGTTTGTCTCCAATTAGTTCCTTAGAATAAAAATCTCCAGCTAGGTATTAGTGGACAAAGGCTTTGATATGCAGAGATATTGGACCAAGTCACAGTATAGCAGCAAAGAATGAGTGAGCAAATTTGATGTGAGAACTAAGAACAACAACCCGTTGTTGCTTTGGTGGGCGAGTGAGTGTGCCAGAGCTATGTCATTCTGTGTCTCTCAGCACTGGCGAGGGCAACTGTTTTGCCACGTGTCTGTTTCACCTGTGGCAATTGTCTCTTTCTACTGTTTGTTACTGGGCTCTTGGTGTTTTTGTTATAAATTTGGAATTTTTCTGGGTCATAAATGTTTGACTCTCATCTATCATCTTTGATAGAGATATGTTTTCCAGTCGATTTTTTTATTCTGTTGTTTTTATTAGAGTTTTTATACTTCGTTAGAATCTGACGGTCTTGTAATTTTTTTCTCCTTCCCCTTAGCCTGATAAATTTCTAATTCTTCCACAGACCTGACAAATTTAATTGCCGACTGATTTGCTTATAACTTGATTTTTTTAAATGGCCTTTTTATCAGTAACACTTGTTTTGGTACAAGGAGAGAAATTCTCTTACTGTATTTTTCTCTAAAGAGCTCGGAATTGCTATACCTTTTCTTAAGCTTCTCTTTCTCTTTGGGAGGCTTACCTGGCTGTATGTTAAGTGTGAACACACGTATATACACATGTTTGTATATTCAATTTGTATCTGAACTCTCCCTTTTTATCTACTGGTGTTATCTTCCCATTTTCATAACATTTTAAATATTTTGCTCCGTGAAAGAGTGTAATATCTGCTAGGGTTATGTGATACTTGCTGGGTGAAATGTCAGTGGTACTGTTCCACTTCTGCTCAGTTCATGACCAAAAACCTCCTGCGCCTTTCCAAACATTCTTGTGCTTCTCACTATAATTCTAACATATAATTTTTACTTATCATTTCTTACTGATTTGTTTCTGTGTTATTGCAAATGCACTCTTTTTTCTCCATGTCTTCTAGTGTAGTATTATACATTCAGAAAATTTAATGATTGCCTTGTACTCAGCTATTGTAGTACGATTTGTTGGTGATGATGGCTCCTTGGGATTTTAGGTGTGTGTCCAGACTGTAAACATGAGTATTTCATCCCCCACTTTTTTATCTGAATAACTTTTTAAACCAAAGAGAAAAGAATCGGAATTATATATATTTCAATCTCCAGCAACTGTAGTAAAGTTTACTTGTAAACATTTTATGTGTTTTTCTCTCTTTTTCTTATTGGCATATGTTCATTGTGTGTATTTCTGGATTTCAGAAAGACATTTTCTTTCATATATATATTATGTACTCTGACAGAGTAACTCATTGAAGGACTATTGACCTATGATAGAAGTTGTCCAAAATGACCAGCGTTCCAGCCAACCAAAGCAAAGTTTGGCTTTCTCGTACTCTGGAGAATGAATGCGCCAGTGTTTATTTTCGTTTTCCTTTCTGATGTTCTAAGAGACTGAGAATGATAACAAAATGAAAATGAATTTATAGTAAAAAGTGCTTAAGGTCTGCAAAATGGTATTTATTATGGCTTTACTGTTACTGGGTATGTTCATTTTAATTTTTTGTGTGTGTGTGTGTGTGTGTGTGTGTGTCCTAGCATGAAGTATTGTCCTTCCAGAGAGGTTGTTTTGCTGTGGCACTTGATAAAGAGCAGGGTCACTGCTCTGGTTTTTGGGCTGAGAGGAGAACTTATGCCTGTTAGAGCAGGTGGAGAGCATTTACCAGTGTGACCTGTTTCTGGACAGCTGCAGAGACTTAATAAACCACCAAGAGAGGTGGTTGTCATCCTTGAAGAGATAAGGCATGTACCCCAGTTCTCTGAAAGCATCAGGAGGCCTGTTCTAAGTGCGGATCATCGCTCCCTGCATAGTGTAGGCTGCTGTTAGTCATGCTGTGGACTCATTGACTGCGGACCGGATAAGAAGGACATCTGTAAGCGCAGTACAAAACTTGACTTTCTCAGAAGGCATACAGTTTCTCTGGCTCTGAGTTTTAGCTCCTTAAAGACTAGGAATAACATTGTCCAATAATATGGGTCCTAACCAACCATGATTGTGTTCAGTACTAGAAAGCCTTCCCTAAGTTGTTGTAAAAGAACTTTTCCAATTGTTTGCCTTTCCCTTTATTCTGCAGATGTCAGAAGTGGCCATGGTTTGATTTGGAAGTGCTGCCTAATGATAGGAGACACACTCACAAACACACAGATAACATCCAGGTTCTCTCATCTGTCCTGAATGTTTTCACAAACATGACAGCACAACCCGTGGGCTTAGGGACTGCACTTGCTGCTTAAGGGCTTTCTGGTTTTCAGAAACACTAACTGCTAAGGTTTACTGACCTTCCGGCCCAGGGCAAGCCCTGTTCCGTTTAGCTCTTCCTAACTGATCATAGCTTTGTTGAGGAAGATGAACTGCTTGGCTTCCTTGTCATTTGTTAATGGTCTTATTCTTGTGCTTGAAGGCATTTGAGCCACTTAAAAACCACAAACAAATAATTTGCTTCCCTTTAGGCCTCTTGCCCAGTGAACACTAAGAAGTATTCGAAGTGGGCCCTTCCCCCACCCTCGTTTTTTTAGGAAACAGAACGTAGTTTGAATTAGTCATCTGATTTCAAAGTAGTTTTATTTGAAAGCTTTATGAAGCCTAGGGAAATAGAAATATCTTGGTTATAATCGTAAAAATCTAGGCAGTGTTTCATACAGAGATCTTTTGGATAAAGAATGGGGTGGGCACTAACCAATTCAGTGTGTAAGAGCAAAGCAGTAGACTCCAGGTCTGTCATATGTGATGCCTGCTGTGTGCAGGAAGCACACTGATGGGGAGGAACCGAGGTGCTGTCTGTAGATTCGGATATAGGTAATTAGTGGAGCAAAGGAAGGGCGAAAATCTGCACAGAGACCTGTTTAGATAATACTTGCAATTTCTATGTCTAGGAAAGCTTACTTGACCCCTTCTTTATTTCAGTGTTTCATATTTTCAAATGGGAATTTCCTATGGGCAGTTACGTGGGTGCTCTTCCATTAGCCCGGGATAGGTTTGCCTGGAATTAACAATAGGAGTGTCAGGAGGAGAGCCTCTGAGGTGTTTGCCCTGGCATGCAGACTCATTCCTTTGACAGTCCTGCAGCCTTGGAGCTCTTTGAGGCTGGGAGATCGAGGATATCTATTTCAGTGACGATTAACGTCCAGAGTGGGGAGATAGACACAGATAAGCAGAGTGTGTTTGTTTGTTTTAAAATGATTGCACCTAAGAGCCCCCTCCCCCCCAGGAAGAGAAAGCATGAAGTTTCCTTCCCTAACTGAATGGAGAGGGCATTGCTGACTGTAAGGCCTAAACTGTGATTTTCAGGAGACAATTAACAACTCGAAAGTATCCTCGACATTCTTCTTGCCCTTTTTGCCTTACCTGTGAGGAGTTACCTCTCCTTAGCTGCTCAGAGGTTTCCTGAAAGGATATGTTGTTATCTTAGTTGTTTTGAAAGGCCTTCTGAAAAAACTATTTATTTTATTTTAAAATATAGTATGTACGGGTGTATGCACATGAATGTAGTTGCCTGGGGAGGTCGGAGATATTGGATCCCTGGTTCCAGAGGGTGCTGAGACTAAAGCCAGTTCCTCTGTAAGAGCTGTATGTGCTCTTAACCACTGAGCCATCTCTCCAGCCCCAGGTCTTATTTATTTATTGATGGTTTCTGAGTTAATAAAAGGAGGGTTCAGTTTACATGTTCACAGTAAATGCACCTGCAGAAGCAGGAAATGGTCTGGTGCAAGACCTGTCTTCAGAGGAGGCCTCCTTCAAGGCTGCAGGGCTGAGGTAGTCCCTGTCTTTCCTAGTCACCTAGCCTTTCAACCATAGGGGGCCGTCTCTAACTCTCAAGGCAGAATCACAGAGAAAGCCAGACTTCACAGGCTGCATGTGAGTGCATTCGGAAATCTAGATCCTTCACCCAAGTCAAATTTGGGTTGAGCTTCTGAAATCCAGGTGGTGGCAAGATTAC